TATAGTTTTTTCTAAGGTATTTGGACAAGTTTTTTAACATGAAAAAGGAGGAGAGAATTGGAGTAGAGAAAATTTTTAGTGAGAAATAAAGGAGACCAAATTAATAAATGAGGGACAAAATAGAGGCTGTCCTATTTTTCTTAACAAGCTACCCAAATTTTTTTTTTCAAAATTTTTTTAGATTTTTTAATTCATATTCTTATTCTATTTTTTTATAAGGCGTACTAATTTTTAGTTTAGAATAAGTTTAGATTTTTTTCTTTATACTAAAAATGCAATTACTTCTAATTAACTAATAACTATTATTTTAATCCTTAAAATATATAATTTACTAACTTAATCTTATTTTTTTAAGATAGGTTATTAAATAGCTATTCAACTTATCAAGAATGTAGTTACGGGGTGGAAAAACTCTAAGAGCAAAAGAGAACTAGAGAGTAAGTCACAAATTGTAACAGGGGTTGAGATAAAAGAGGCCTTAAAGGAGAAATACTTGTTAGAGTGAGATAGACAAGATACTTTCCTATGACTACATCATCTAAAATGTGGCTCTCTTAGTGTGGAAGAATATGCAACCGAGTTCGAACAACTAATGATGAAGTGTAAGCTCAAAGAGTCGGAGGAGTACACGGTTGCAAGGTTCGTGGGAGGATTGAGACAAGAAATTTCCAATGTCATTCAACTACAACATTATCATATTATCCAAGATGTTATCAAGTTAGTCATGAAAGTAGAAAGGCATTAGAAAATGTCTCGATAGAGAAATAGGGTCATGGCTAAAAGAGAGGAGAATTTTAATCCTAGTGGAGCGATAACAAGTTTAGCTTACGCCCTTAAAGAGGTTCGGAGTTATAAGGCGAATCAACTAAACGTTACAAGCAAGATAAGTGCCACAATTAGGGGCATCAATTATTGATAGTGTTTAAAGTGTACGAGTTATAGTCATATTTTTTTTTCTAATGTCCGGATCAAAAGGTGATCACTTTAACTCAACATGCTGATTATGAGGAGGGTTATGTTCAAAACCAAGATGAGGTTCAAATCTTTATAGATGAGAGAAAGACCTTTGTCTAGGAGGATGATGAGATCCTAGCCTTGCAATCCTATAGTAAAGATGGAGTGATTGATGCCGATGCTAAATGGAGGAGGACTTCCATCTTTCATACACAATGTCGAGTAGATGGTAGACCTAGCTTGATGATTCTAGATAGTGGCTCAAGCAAGAACATCATCGGTTAATCTCTAGTGGAAGGCATAAACACAACATTCATCAAACAACATAGTCCATTTCAAATAAGGGGGATCAACGAAGGTGAGGGGCTAATGGTGACTCATCGATGCAAAGTAAACATCAATTTTAATATAGGGTATGATGATTGGGTTCGTGTGAAGTTCTTCACATGAACATTTGTGACATTCTATTAGAGGAGAACTTGGTAAATCAATCAACATGTCATCCATGATGGGTATGCCTACACTTATTCGATCTTATATTAAAGCAACATTATTTTCTAAATTTAATGACTAAAGAATAATAGAAAAGACCTATGCCTCGAGGTCTCTTACCTTATTCTTTTTGTTGTTCAATTGAACTATGGATAATTAAAAAGGATTCTAGTAGTTTTTCTATTGGTCAATGTTATGACTATTCTTTTCTTATGCAATTAACATTGATTTGGATGAAAACATATCTATTATACATCGAATTGGAAAGACATGATGAAATGCATACATTGTCGAATAAAAGTGGTTGTCGTGGGAAAGCTAGTTATGGCTAAGAGTTGTGAGAATAATATGAAGGATGATGGTAGACATACTACTACCATGAGTAAGTATAATGGTTTTGGAGCTACTACCAAAAATGATAAGATAAAATTAGGGGTTATTATTGTCAATAGGGTTATGAATGATCGGGAAGAGAATAACTTATGAATCATATAGAGATTGTTACTAAAATTATTAATGAGAAACCATGGGTCGAAGTCTTTAAGTTTTTTTTTCAAAGCAAATTATCATTAGGGAGACTTGGTATGGGTGAACATAAAGGAAAAAAAATGTTTCTAAGAATAGGTTTGTCAAGACCAAGGAGATCGAAAGCTCGTTCAAAATCATAAAGAGGATAAGAGAGCATTTGTACAAGGTTAGCTTACCTAGAGTTTACTTGGTTTTAGTCACATTCAAGGAGGTGGATCTCTTTCCTTACCTCAAAGAAGAAGACAAAGAACAAGACTTCAAGGTTGACTCTTCTCCAACTAGGAAAGCATGATACAAAAGATCCTTCTCCTTCACTATGGTCGAAAGGTTTAGCCTTCAATCTTTTAATGTTGTGTTTTGTTTATTTAATTACCATATGGATTAGATTATTATTATTTGATTTTAATTTTATGTATTTTACTTGGGCTATATTATTATGTCCTTATTGATTATTTATCTCCTAAATTTTAGGGAGGTGGTTGGATATAGAGGGATTAAGAATCCTTTTATATTGTGGATTCTCATCTTTTAAGAAAAAGGATTTAATGAGTTCTTGTAATATGTAGATTCATAATTGACTAGGCCTAATAATAAGAAGTCCTAATTAAATATGAACTATATAAGTTCATTTATTTTTAGGAGAGGAGGTTTGGCTTAGGGAAAGAATTTCTTCCCTCGTTGAATTATACTAGGTCTTTAAGGAATAGTATTTAAACATCTTCTATGCATCATTGTATGGGCTTTTGATCGAGAAGACCTAGCCAACTTTGAAAGCAATAAAGGTTTAGATTTATTATTTTAAATATTTAAGTATTTTCTTCACTTGTATTAGACTAGAATTACTTGAAGCATGTGTTTAGAGTGATAACCTAAGGTGGGTTATATATATTTGTATGCAAGAGCTTGGAGTTATGGTTTTAAGACTTTTATTGTATTTATTCCCTTGGGTACCTCTTACTCTACCTTGATTTGGTAACTTGGACTTGTACTAGGATTAGATAATTGGGCTTATATAATTTTATAATAACTGTAGATTGACTTGCATGAACTAGCAAACTTTACTCCTAAAATATATATATATATATATATATATGATTGGATAGAGCATTTGATTGTGGTTTTACAGCATAGTTTCCACGTTATTAAGAGATAGAATAGCTTAAATGGATTCTATTTTATGATTATTGATTGAACTTTCATAGGATTTGAAGCATCGTATTATTCGGCATCAAACTATCATCCAATGTTCCTCTATAGAGACATGCATGTATTAGCAAACCTTGTTGACTACGAAGCCACATCAAGTCTCATGAGTGTAATATATTCAAAGTGCCCCCACTACTTCTCTATACTTTGTTACATCCTCAAATGATTTGGATGAATTTAAATACAATTTGGTTATGGTAGGGTATAAGAGAACCTAGTAGCTTACAATGACACATTCTCATTTTAAGTAAAATTACCTTAACATACTTCTTTTAAGTAAGAAGTAAGCCATCTTGTTGAGATTGTATCTCAATGCCAAAAAAAAAAAAAAATAACATACATTCTCCAAATCTTGAATGAAAATTTTTTTATTGAGGTGTGAAATAAGAGAGAAAAATTTAAAGTTAGAATCACCAATGATCAATATGTCATCAACATATACTAAAATAATAAATTGTGCACCATTATCATTATAGAAAAACAAGAAAGGGTTGAACTAAGAAAATTAAAAGTTAGTAGAAAATCATTAAGATAAACAAATCAAATTTATGGTGATTGTTTCAGCCATAAAGTGATTCATGTAGTTTACACACATAACCGGGATGTTTGTCATCAACACAAATACTATCATCCAATACACCATTTAGATAGACTAATTCTATATCATAACTCGGGAAACGATACATTGTATGATGGCTAGTTTTACAATGGGATTGAATGTTGTACTCGTAATCAAGCCTTTCTTATTGATGGCCACTAATCTAGCTTTATATTTTTTCAAACTCCCATCGAGCCTTAGTTTTTTTTTAAAAAAAAAAAATACCTACTTTTAACCCAAGATGCTTATGTTAGAAGTGTGAGGATATCCTAACCTTAAGTGCCATATACGTGGAGACGTTTGGACAAAAAAAGCTTGTGGTTTGGAACATTTTTTGCAACCCAAATAGAACATACAAATCAATATGACTTGATTTGGAAAAGATTTTCCCGATGTACTTAGTTCTTTAGATAAAAACAAAATGATAGGTAAAACTTACGTAATAAAACTTTGTCTTTGCGAAGTTGTTAAAAAAATAATAAAAGTTTGGAAATTTGGAGAACATACAAGATATCTAGAATATGTAAATCCTTAGTCGTGTAAGAATATGAGAAGTACCAATGTTATGAATAGGAAGAAACACACCATTATCTACTTAAAGCTAATTTTATCCCTAATAAGATTTATAGGTGCTTATGTTGGTTGAATCGGGAGTTACATGATAAAAAGCACTAGTGTAAGGACACTAAGAATAAAGTCGATATCTAAATAAAATAGTAAGATTGATTGCCATATGTTTAGATAGATGCATGAATTGAGCAAACTATTGGGAACAATGAACTATAGTATTATTCTAAAAATTGAATAGTTGACATCAATTCTTATGTTCATTAGAAGACCAATTCTACCGACCATTAGGATTAAAGTTTCTCTTATATCCTCTCTCACGCCATCTCCCCGCTACTCTCGCCCTCAATCACCGCCAAAAGTACTAGGCCTATTAAAGGTAGTGTTTCCACTTTATTGACTCAAGTTTATTGTCGATATCATGATATTAGTGGAAATAGGAATGGGTTGGGCAAGAATGGAATCTCTAGCTTATTAAAAAAACCTAACCCAACTAAAAAACACTAACTCATTTAAATAAACTCTAACCAAATTCTTTTTTCCTCTTCTTCTCATCCATATCCACCACCCAACCAAAATTCATCCCCTATCGCCACTTTCATCGAAACTCACAACCACCATTATCATACTTCATCGATAAACACCCATCTCTTCTTCACCCTTCGACTAAATCTCCACCATCATCCATAATCTTTCCAAACCTAAACTCACCGACCACACAAACACCTCTACAAGCCACTACCAATCTCCCATGACTACTACCACAAACAATAACCCAAATCCAACCTCTCATTTATCGTTGAACCCACTAATCTCCTCCTTTTTGATCACCACAATACCAACCAAACTTGTTGATCTCTTACCTCTCCTTTAAACAAACCCACTATAGAAACTCCAGCCATAACTCAAAACCACCATTGCCACTCTCGACGACCACCACGACCATCAAGCCTTCGGTAGCCCTCAAAGCACAATATGAAAGAAACAACATTTCCTTTCTATTATCTAGTAAAAAGACTTGTCTCTACCTCTAAAGTGATAGTAGCACTAGCAAAACCATCCTCACCAACATCTTCCACTTCCTCCACACATCATCATCGCATCATCATCAATTTAAAATAAGTTTAAATAACTTTAAAATAGTCCTAAAACCTAAATAATACCCTATTTCTTCCATAAAATCAAATATATAAATGGGCTTAAGGGTTATTTTTAACTAATTTAACCTTTTTTCCTCCACATATCATCATCGATTTGAAATACATATTTTCGGGTTTAGATTTTTCTAGGTTTGATTAATGTATTTCTTGAAATAGGTTTTCATTTAGGGATACTCGGTGAGAGTTTTGATTTGGTAATTTAAGGGAAAGGGTTTCATATTTGTAGTTGAGTTTAGTGTTCATGGGTAGTTCGGGGTTGTGAAGAGTGGTAGTAAAAGGCTAAAGGTGGAGATGATGACTAGAGTGGGATGTTAGGCTAAAGAAAGAAGAAGGAAGGAAAAAATGGAGAAAGCAAAAGACAAAGGGGACAATGTTGGTGGCCGGTGGCTAAGGATGAGCAAAAAAAAAAAAAAAAAAAAGGAAGGAAGAATTTGGTAAGGATTTTGTTGATTGAGTTTATGTTTTTTTAATTGGGTTAGGGTTTTTTTTTAATTTGAATTAGGATTTTTTTTTAATTAGGTTAGTGTTTTTTAATTGGGTTAAGGATTTTTTTCATTAGTTTAGGGTTTTTTAAATTATGTTAGGGATTTTTTTATTACGTTATAGTTTTTTCAATGCAGTTTAGGGATTTTTTTAAAAAAAATTAGGTTAGGGTTTTTTAACTAGGTTTAGTGATTTTTTCAATAGGCCATATAGATCCTACGTGGAATCATATGTGGCGAGTTAGTGCTACTTTCATGCTCCATTACACGCCGCATTGGTTTTGGTTGAAATTTAAGTCAAAAAAATTCATCCGTGCTAATATTGTTACTACAAGCTTAGTTCGTGACTTTTTTGTCGAAAATTAAAAGAATGAGCTAATATGCTTAAAAAACATAAAATTGTGATTTTTTGATACATTAAACCTTTTGAATGGGTAAAATAGAGGTCTAGAACTCACCATTGGTAGATTTTAGCCTTTCAAATCAATTTTGATCGTCAATAAGGAATTAAAGAAGAAGAAACAACAATTATTAGTCCCGACTCTCCTTTTTTGATCAGCTAAATATAACTCAACCTTTATTAAAGAGTAAGAGAGGCTTTTGGCTTCACATCCCGACCAACTAAACATGAAATGAGTGTCAAATTATTGCTAAAATGACTTTAGAAGGAAGCTCACCAAAATTATCTATAAGGTTATTTTTAGTAATTTAAAGTAGTAGTGGAGTAATCGTCTCTAACAATCCTCCCTAGTATCTTAAGACTCGTTTGGGTAATATTTTGATTCTTATTCATGTATTTTTACTATTTTTAGATAAATTATGCATTAAATGTAATTGGTTAAAGTGTCGAGATATGTCGTTGCGTATTAAACTTAAGGGGTCTAAGACCTTTCGATACTTTAAGGAGAAATAAGATCGATCTCAATACTTTATGATGGAGCTAGAAAAACTAAAAATAGGTTTTAATTTAAATAACTTATTCGGGATGAGTTTCAATCTTGGTGTGCGTAAATGAAATATGTGGTGTCGTTTATGTCATGAAATTAATTAAATGACATTAATGTATGATGTGTTGCAACGATCGACATTGGGCTTAAATGTCGACACATCTTTTTAAATGATTATGCATTGATATCTAAATGTTTGGTTATGTTGTTTGAATGAAACCTAATTTGGATCACTTTTATTGCTTGGTTTGAATAATTATGCCTTCTTGTTAGGTTAATTAGAAGAGTGAGGTCAAGCCAACAAGTTTCTTATTCATTATAGACTCGACAATGGTCTCGATATATTTTATCCAATAACAAAATAAAAATAAAAATGAGAGACGACATCTTTTTTAGGTTAATTAAGAGAGTTATGTCGAGCCAATGAGTGTTCTATATATTAGGAACCGATAAGAGTCTTGGGACTTTTATCTAAAAAATAAACAAAGAAGAAAATAAAGGAAAGTGAATTAGTTAGGATGGATATGGGCTAGTTTTCTTCTACATCCCAAGTTAAAAAGAAAAAATTAGTTTACTAGGTCGCGCTTGACATGTCATTCATGTCGGGACTTAAACGAATCTAATGCTAAATTAATGAGACTCCATGTTTGAGGACCAACATCAATTTAATACTATTTCACTATAAAAAAATAATTTTTTAACTTAAACAACTTGAATAAACTTAAGATTAGACTTAGAAAATATTTGGGCAAACATTACTTTAGGAGATATTTTTAAGATTAGACTCATCCGATACATTTTTCCAAAAAGAGTTTTTTTGGATTATTGTTAACTTTCCAATTAGTATAACTAACTCCTTACCTAAGATCTCTCGAGTCCAATTCTCCTTTTAAGATTTTTAGTTCTCTTTAATTCTAAGTGGTGACTTCAAAATCATTTTTTTTCTTAGTCATTTTGGTGGTCCCATATGTCGAGTAGTGACAACTTCACGACTCGTTAGAGATTCAGAATTAGGCCATGATTTTAGTCTATTCTTAAGCTTATGTCCTTCAAATATGTTTGTCATTTCACTTCCAAGTTATTTACCTTTGAGCATTTATTTTACCACGAAATAATTTATCTTTTTATATTTAAATTAAAGCACTTATTTATCACATGTATTTATAAATTTGATTAGATCACTTATTTGTATTACCACATATAACACAAGAAAAATCCAACAAAAGCTTTAGACCGGACCTCATCCTTATCAAGATTTAGATAGGCGGATATGGATAGCAAGGATGATGAAAGTCTATTAATACTCATTTGAACTCGCTGTTTAGATCGAAACTTATCCTATATATGAAAATTTCATAATACTCTTCTCATTTATGTAGTTGCATAAGTTGAAAGGATAGATAACCTCACTAGTGATCTAAAGAATTTACAAACTTAAAAAACCTTTAGGATTAGACAACTATGCATAAACCTTGTGGATAGCTAGATTCTATCCATTAGGGTTGAACCTATTAAGACACAAATGCTTCATGTGATGTAGCTATATTAATCCTTTTTGTTTCAATAGAGTTTATCAAAACTCAAGAGCGAGAATATAGGTCATCCTACCAAACTTGCACTTATTACACTTGATTGAAAGAAAAAATTGACGATAAAGAGAGAGGTCAACTTGAGCAAAACCACAAAAAAAATAGACACATAAAAAAGAGAAGTTGTTAAGGTTGTTGTTTTACTTGAGCAAAGTCTATAAAATTATGTTTCTACTAAAGTTCTTTCTCAAAAAAGGAAGTTAGCCAATCATTTGCACTCGCCAAAAATGTTCACTCGGAGGTGGTAGTCTTTCCATAGCTCATGATCAACCTACTTGATGATGCTTTGACATTAGTCGGCTTATCCAAAAGTATATCGAGGAAGAAAAAGTGAATGATTGGTTTGATGAAAAAGTGTATATTCTTTTCAAGTCTAAATAACTTCTTTATCATGTGCTTTATCATCGGTATAAGGAATTACTATCCGAAAAGGATTCCTTTTGTGAAACTTTTATCGTGTTTTCATAATAATGCTAATTAAAGAGATCATGTAAATTTTCTTCTTAAATCGTCATCTTTGTCTTCTTCTTTTTTCTATTCATTTTATTTATCTTGTCATCCTATCTTTAGGACACTTAATATGATCATATCTTATTAAAAAACCCCAAATGATCATCCTACCGAAGAAGAAAGAAAAAAATTAGCATAACTCTAATTATAGTAGATGAAGAAAGGCAAAAATGAGAATAAGCATGACAACGAATATGAGAGTAACACACAAAGCTCATCAAAGAGACAAACAAGTGTCTTGTTTTGTGAATGAGATTTTATCTTTTAATGAATTTTTAGATTTCACATTCAAAAAAGTATGATGATTTTCATGGACTGAGTCATTTCTTTGAATGAAAACAAAAATCTTACTATCTTAGCATGATTTACTATCAATTTAAAATCAATAAATTTTTATTTAAAAGTATCATTCAAGACCGCATGTCATCTAAATTAGAATGAATAAAATAGCAAATTTATTCAAAATGTTTCAAAATTAGTCAATTTTTGAGACATGTAATGTAAATGCTATGGGGCAATCCTTTTATTTTTAAAACCAAAAACACTATTTCTCATTCTCGATAAATTCTTTGAGGATAGTTTTGCCTAAGATAACACATTGATGCCTTACATGATAAATCAAATGATTTGATGTCTTAAAAGATGATGTGTGATATATATTTGGGTCATTATCTTGCCCAACCTACCATTTTTTCTCTATACATTAATCCCGGTTTTCAAATGAGACCATAGCCTATTAACTTGAGCAAATCATATTTGAGATGAAAAAAAAGTCATTTTTTATATATTATTTACAAATGAAATTGCATCCTTTGTTATCCCAACTTTGAGCATTTAATATTTTCTTTCAATGATAACTCAAACTAGGATCACCCTTCATACTAAAAGGTAATTTTAGAAGTTTATGAAACCAATGATGTTCTCCTAAGAAAGAAATCATAGAGATTTAGTTTATGAAAAAATATGAAAGAAACTCTAGCAATAATTGTAGAACAATATGGGGTAAAACAAAAGAAATGAGAGATGAAAATATAATGATATACTAAGATAAAAAAAATGTTATCAAAAGGACACCTATCATGATTTAAAGTTAGAAAAGATTTTAAAATTCAAAAAATGATACTAATGAACATGAAAAGAGAGCTAAGATTAGGAGATGAGATTAATCATGAAAATAACAAAGTCAAGATGGCAAGTCTATAATGATCTCGATGAATGTGATGAAGGCAAAACGGCATGTCTAAAATGATCTCAATAATTGATTAAGTGATCTTAAATCTCTATACCATCAAATGCCTTTTAAGTCTTATATATCCTTTTATTCATGAGCCGAGCCTTAAGCCTACATTATGTACCCTTGAAAGCCCTTTCTAATCAAAGATGGCTTGTTTTGTGTTGATAAACTTTAGCTCTAAATGACCAAAAGAAAAACATTTTTGAACAAAAACTTGACTTGTTTGTGCATTGAAAATTATGATTTATGATATTAAATCATGAATTTTCATCAAATAGATGAGGGCAAGAAAGAAACAAAATCAAGATTTTAAAGGCAAAACTATCCATTTAAGCCAAATTCTTTTTAGACCCCTTGGAGCTCATAAAACTCATTCAAGCCTTTAACTCTCTTTGAGCTAACCTTTGATAATTACCTTTAAAAAAATGATTTCTTTGCAAATTTCTATGCAATCCGCCTATCTAATCAAAGAAGAGTTGCTTTAAGGATTGCACCATAACATTTGCATGATATGTGTTGATTTTTGATCATGTGAATCAAAAAAAAAAAAATTGAATGAGATTACTTTCTTATAAACATCTCTACGATTTTTTCTAAATAATTCAAATTTTTTTTTATGAAAATTATTCAAATATACAACTTAATTCATGAAAGTCAAAACAACTAAAAATTTAATGTTTTAGAGAATTCGAAAAAGCTTATAGATAAATTTGCAAAATCAAGTTGGAAAAAAGATGGATCACTATAGGAGGTGCATCAAAAATGATAGATAATCACCAATATTTAGGGACTTACTACAATCTAACTAATCACAAGATGATGTTAGTACTGAAAGATCAACCATTTCAACTCTTTTTTTATTCATAATAACGAGGAGATGACCCGAATCATGTCTAAATATTTATTAGTGTAATGATTTTAATTTGCTTCTTTTGTTATTGATATTCCTAACATAATATAATTCATAATTTTTTACCTTTCAAATAACATTTTTTTCACAAGTATGATAGCTTATAAAAAGAAAAACTTTTCATTGGTCTCATGCGGAATTATATGATTGATGTTATTCATGAAATGTGATAACACATTGAATTGACAAATAATGATGTGATAAGGATTTCACTAAGACTCGATAGAAGAAAAGAACTTTCTTCATGAAATTTCACATTTGAAATTCTTCATGAAGAATTACGAACAATCGAGACAAAGAGTTGTGCCAACCATTTTGGGGCCAAAGTTATTGATATGTGCTTATCAAAGTATGGATATTTAGGGAAACATAAAGAGAGCATAAAAGAATAGTGATCTTTTGTTCGATCATAAGATCGGACACTATTCAAATAACATAAATAATGGTCAAAGTGATCCCCTAAATGAATACAATAACAAAAAGCATATAAGATGATTAAGCAAACAAGCTTAGAAAAAATAGTCAACATAAAACTTTGAATTTATTTGAGATGGACAACATAACAATGAAAAAAATGAGGGAAGTTTGGGTTTTGGTTGAGATGCCTTATGCCTCTTTGAAAATTGGTAAGATCAATCCTTTAAAAAATTTGTGCATTTCTAAGATTTTATTCCATCATTCATCTATGCATTGTCTTTGATTTGATGTTGTCATCTACTTTGTGAGACTTGACTTTCTATTCTTAACTTGGATTTTTTTTTTTTTTTATTGCCATCACAAAATCAAGGTCTGTTGGGTCACATTATTTTAAAAACATGGCCTCGGGTTCTACTTATTCTTAAATCATTTCAACTACTTTTGCAAAAATCATGATTGATGGTTCATGTCATTTTAAACCATGGCTACAAATTACATATGGTCTTAAGTCGTTTTCATTGTCTTTAAAAAATTGTGGATGTTGGGTTACATCATTTTATACCATGGCTATAGGTTCCACATGGCTTTTGAAAAATCATGATATTGGGTTGCCTCATTTTAATAAATTTTTTTAATTGATTTCGAAAAATGGTGGTTGTTGGGTCGTGTCATTTTAAACCATGATCATAGGTTCTACATGGTCTTAAATTATTTTAATTACCTTTGAAAAATTATGGTTGTTAGGTTTTGTCATTTTAAATCATACCCACATGTTTCACATGGTGTTAAGTTGTTTTAACTACTTTTGTAAAATCATGGTTGTTAGGTCACATCATTTTTAAACAATGGCCACAGGTTTCAAATGGTCTTAAATTGTTTTAATTACCTTCAAAAATCTTATGGTTATTAGCTCATATCATTTTAAATCATGGCCCCAAATTTCTCATGGTTTAAATCATTTTAATTGTTTTTGAAAAATCATAGCTATTGGGTCATGTTGTTTTTAAACTATGGCCACGGGTTCCACATGGTCTTAAATTGTTTTAATTAATTTTGAAAATTTTTGGTTGTTAAGTCGCATCATTTTTAAAGCAAGGTTATAGGTTCCATATGGTTTTAAATTTTTTTGAAAACTCATGGCTATTGGGTTATGACATTTTTAAACTAGGACCACAAGTTTCACATGATCTTAAAATCATTTTAATTTTCTATAAAAGCTTATTATATAAAGTAAAAAAAAAAAATTCAATGACTCTTCATCATAAACATTATAGACAAGAGACAACTATTAGCATCCAATTTTAACCCTTAATTTTTATGAATTTTTCAAAAAAAAAATCCAAAACCACGAAAACAAAATTAAACACTTTGCCTAATCGATTTAATTTGTCAAAATTAGACATTTCGCAAGTTTTAGTGAATTTTTGTAATTTTAAGGATTTCAAAAAATCACCAAGCATGAAAGAAAACCCAAAAAAAAAAGGTTTAATACATCCTCCTTCCCTATACTTTAACAAATTATCGTCACAACCCATGTACCTGGATATAGTCCATAACCGACCCTATACTATTGGAAGTTAGTGTAAATTAACCCCTCCGTTATATTTTTATATTAGTTTGACTAATTTCTATTAGTTGACCTATGAATGACCAATACAATGTCGACACCTATCATTTTAAAGGTGAATACATAATTTTTTTTTAATTTTTTTCTAGATTTCTGTTTAAGTTAAAATTATTTAAAATTATTTTCTTCATCCTCATTCAAATAAAAAAAGATAGAAGCATTTTTTGGGTTTGGTGATCTTACGTTGCATTTTCATTGTCATTTTCTTCATCCTCACTCAAATAAATAAGAAAGTGAAAAGAAGTGAGTATAAAATAAAGAGAGAAAGATAAGAAAGGGATTTATAGGTGAAATGCATTGAAAGCAATTATTAAGGCCACACTTGGTTGCCAACTCATTTGCAATTTTTACAATCGAAACCCGCCCTTTCATTAATACTAAAATGAAATCAATGATGTTGTTTGTTTTTTTTTTCATTTGAAACGACATCTTTTGTTGTCGTCAACAACCACTAGAGTCATCGTGAGATGGTGATTTGCATTGAATCGAATCATTATTTTTTTCAGTTTAGAGAAACAAAATAAGAAATAATTAGGAATTATTTATTGGCAATGGTAGGAATTAAAAATTGAAGTGTTAGTTAAAGGGAGGCAATTGAAAAACGCAACAAGCATAGGATCACCAAACCCAAAAAATGCTTCTATTTTTTTATTTGAGATGAGGATGAAGAAAATGATTTTAAATAATTTTCAATGATTTTAACTTAAACCAAAGTCAAAAAAAAAATTAAAATGAAAATTATGTTTTTACCCTTAAAATAATAGGTGTTGAGATTGTATTGATCATTCATAGGTCGACTAATAGAAGTTAGTCAAACTAACGAAAAAACATAATTGAAGGGTTAATTTACATCAACTTTCAATAATATAAAGTCGATTATGGACTATATTTACGTACAAGGGTTATGACGATAATTTCATTAAAGTACGGGAGCATGAGGTGTATTAAACCCAAAATAAAACAAGAAGAAATGAAAAAAATTAAAGAAAAAGAAAGAGAGAATAGATTGAAAAAAAATGGCGTTCAAGTGACAATTAGAAAAATTAAGTAAAGAAAAAAAAAGAAAAAAAAGCCTAGTTGAGGGGTATCATAGAAAGATGTAAGAAGCCAATGACCTTAATTAAGGAAAATTTGATTGAATTGAAAGAAACAAAAGAAAAGATACCTAAAAAAAATCAATTAGGTGCATAATTAAAAAGAAATTGAAGGATACCTAATTAAAATAAAAAAGATGCATAAAATAAAGGACTAAAATGAGATTTGGCCATCCATCCCAAACTCTACCTATAAAAGCTCACTCTTTTTCTCACACTTAAAGACGAGCCGATCATAGTAAGAAAGACCTAAGAGAGACATCTTCTCGCTCCCTCATAAAAACATTGCCCAGCCATACCTCTACAACTTGCCACTACCATAAGTCCCACCATCATCCTCTTTGAAACCCTAAAAGCCATGCCATCTCGATCTCCTCCTCTCATCCCGCCTCCATTACAACCCTTCTCTAGCCAAAGCTCCATGGTAAATAGCCATCCCAATGCTTGCCATCACCAATAACCACCCATTTCTATCTTCCTCTTTAACATTACCGACAACCACACCCTTCCTCCTATTACAAACCATAGCATGCCCATCACAAACCATAACGACTTTTTCACAATCCCTCACCAAACCTAGCCAAACAACCATCATAACCCCAAAACCCCACTTTCCAAGCCACCTCAACCCTTATTATCATCATCTAAATCCATAACCACATAACAACAACACTACTCTTCTCATAGAGAATGATGAAACGTGAAATGTTAAGGAATTTTGGTAAGCTCGGGTAGTAGTGGAGCGAGATGTCTTTAATAGTCCTCTCTAGACTTTCAAGATTGTGTGGCTAATATTTTAATTCCTATTCATGTATTTTAATAATTTTAGATAAATTATTGATTGAATATGATTATTTGAAGTGAAAAGAAAACATTGTTGCATACCAAACATGAACGATTTGAGATTTTTTAATATCTTGAGGAAAAATAAGGTCGGTGTCAATTCTTTATGAAATAGTTAAGAGGACTAAGAATGGGTTTTAATTTGAACGGACACTTTCTTTTTAAATGATTATACATTGATATTTGAATGTTTGGTTATGTCATTTAAATGAAAATTATGATGCCTAAAATTGCATCGGTCCGAAACCCGATTTGGATCTTTTTTATTAGTTTGTTTGGATATGTTTGTTTACCTAATTTTGCCTTCTTTTTAAGTTAATTAGAAGAGTAGGGTTAAGACAACGAGTCTCATATTTATTAAAGACTAATGGTGGTCTCGACATGATTTATCTAATAATAAAAAAAGAAAAAGAAAATAAAAAACAACATCTTTTTAGGTTAATTAAGATAGTTATGACTAGCTAATGAGTCTTTTTTATATTAGAGACCGATGGGTTCTCTACTTGTTTTATCCAAAAAAAAAAAGGGACAAAAGAAAGTGGATTAGCTAGCATCGATATAGGCCGGTTTATTCTACATCCCAAGTTAAAGCACCTATAGTTCAGTAGCTTGTTCTTGGCATGCCAATTGTGTTAAGACTTAAATGGATTCGATGCTAAATTGATGAAACTCTCAAATTTAGAACCCTAAGTCAATTTAATACAATTCTACAATGAAAAAAATAATAAAATCTTTTTTAGACTTAGAAAACCTAAATAAAGTTAAGATTAGACTTAAAAAAATATGTTGAAGAACATTACCTTTATGAGATATTTAAGTATTAAACTAAAATCGATATTTTTCTCTAGAAATTATGCCTTTGAGTGATTGTTATCCTCCTACTTCCATTACCAACTCCTTACTCAAAATCTTTAAATCTAATGTCCCTTTTAGGTTTTCTAATTCTTTTTAATATAAGGTGGTGACTCCAAAACTCATAATTTTTTTCTTCGTCATTTTGGAGGTCTCATATGATGGGTAGCGACATCGAGTAAAGGATATTAGATTGAATATAGCATTCAAGTTAGTAATAAGGCCTTTGACTTTATCAAATAGGCTATAAAAAATACGAGAGATTAAAATCGTTAGGGATAGTGGTTTACCAATAGTAGTGAGTTCGTCACTTTCATATTTTTCTCTCCGAAGATATTGAGTGACAGATTCATTATGTTCTTATTTAAGCCTCTAAAGTGCTAAATGTAATGTCATTATGCAATTGTTAGAAGATGAGGTAAGATCACTTTCTAGAATAGTCTTTACCTCTCTAGAGATATTCCAATCAATAACTATGGACAAAATTTCAATTAATAGAAATGAGATGAGAGTGCTTATCAATAGTTGGTCTTATTGAATCTAGTCGTGGCAATTTAGATTAAATTAGGGAATCTAATCACAAACAACAAATGAGAGGGAAAGTAGGGTTTGCTACCATCAATAAATCTAAAAAAATCAATGGCTAATTGAAAATGAACGTATCCGAGTATGCCAAGGTAAGTAGTTGGAGGAAATTAGCTTGAGGGTGATAAAATGGTGAGCATTTGAGAGTTGAGTTATAAGGACAATTGCGGATTTGTTAAAGGAATTTTTTAGAGGAGCCGGAGATATGTTTTTAGCATAAGAGATAAAGACATCTAAGATCATAATGTGTATCATTGCAGAAAGGCTTTGATACCAAATTATGTTATCTTTGAGATTTTTTTATTGTATATGTATACATGTGTTTGTTATACTAGAAAGAGAGTTACTACTACTACCTTCCTTGTTTTTATATGTTATATGAAGACATCAATAGGTCCGATAGTACACAAACTTTATACAAGCACAACTCAAAAGTTTTAAGCTTTTAAGTTAAGAAATAGTAGGCTATTCAATTATTTAAGCATGTAAAAAAAAACTCCCTTCTTTTTTCTAGCTTGGGATTGCGAGCATAACAAACATACTATTATGACAAATAGCTAAAACAATACAAGTAATGACAAACAATAATCAAAAGAAAAAGCTAAACAAATTATCAACACATATATGATTTACATGGTTTGATAAATTACATACTTCATGGGAGAGAGGGAAGTTTTATTAGCTTGATAGTAGAAGAATATAAGAATCTTAAAGGCTCAATGCAAAGTCTTTATCTTTCACTCTATTTCCTAAATAGAGACATAAAGAGGCTTGAATATCTCATACCTATAAAGAAAAAAATCTAATGGGCTAAATATATTATTGGCCCATAAAATTCAAGCCGTTAACAAAAAAATCCACCTTAGCTTGAATTTTGTATATCTTCAAGAATATTACATGACTTTTCAAGACATACCTCTAAGCTTACATGAACTAACTCTGGTGTAGGAAATAATAGATGTGAGGAGAGAAAATATTGACTTCAACACTGGGACTAACAAACTTCCTTCTCTCCAACAATACCCAACATATAAAAATAAATGCTTGAGGCACACGAGCGGATTCATTAGCACACTGCTAAAGCACACTTGCTAATTCAAAACACAACATGAGTAGATGCAAAAGTCACGAGCATAAAACAAAAGTGTCACATGGTTAGAAGAATTAAGCATGAATGTAAGACAAAAGTTTCACAAGGGCGAGGCATGAAGCAAAGGCATAAGACAAATGCTTCACACGAGTCGAAGCATGAAGCATGATAGAGAATATAAAACTCACATGGCCATGCCTCTCTCTTTCATATGATCGAGCCTCTCTTTTCAATAGCACACGTTGATTTTCTTAATAACACTCAAGTCCAAATAATGCATGAACTATTTACTATAACGAGGTTTAGTTAACACATCAATTGAATTGTCTTTAGTACGAACTTTTTTTACTACAATCTTCTTATCACAAACTACTTCACGGATAAAAAGATACATGATATCAATATTTTTAGTACTCCCATAATTTTCATGATTTTTGGTTAAGTATATAACACTCTATTTATCACGAAAGACAACTAAATTTTCTTCTTGTTGAAGACCAAGTTCTTCCATAATATTTTTCAACCAAATAGCCTCTTTTATGACCTTAGCTGCTATCATATATTCTATTTCAGTAGTAGACAAAGCGAGTTATCAACTCGTAATGTTAATCTCTAACTAATTGTAGAACCCATAATTATAAAGATCTACCCTATTAAAGATGTCATTTTATCAAGATCAGTTACATAGTTAGAATCCATAAAACCTACAATATAGGTTCTAGAAGCACTCGCCCCTTTCAAAGGCTAAACCCAAGTCTATGGTATCATTAAGATACCTAAGAATCCATTTCACTACTTGCTAATGTACCTATTCTAAGTGATCCATAAATCTGCTCATAATAATAAATGTCCGAGCAATGTCTAGATGAGTATAGATCATAGCCTACATTATGCGACCTACTACGAGTGGAACATAAAACTCATGAAATTTTTCTCTTCTTCTTCATTATGAGGTGACTAAGAAGTCGAAAGTCTAAAGTGAGTAGCCAATGGAGTACCGATAGATTTGGTTTCTACATACCAAAATGCTCAAACACTTTCTTAATATATCCCTATCGTGAAAAGTATAATTTTTCAACCTTTCTATCCCTATGAATCTCCATGCCTAAGATCTTTTTCGATGCTTCAAGATCTTTCATCTCAAACTTATCACTAAGTTGTTTCTTTAACACTTGAATTTCGATATGTTCTTAATAACAATAAGCATATCAACCACATACAATAAAAGATACATAAAAGATCTAATTGTTAACTACATAAAATACACATAAATATCATAAGTAGATATTGAATAATCATGATTAAACATAAAACTATCAAACCTTGTGTACCACTACCTTGGTGATTATTTAGGCCATACAAAAATTTCTTCAATCTGTAAATATGATCTTCTTTTCCTTCCACCAAGTATCATTTTGTTTAAGAAACATAAATAGTCTCCTTAACTTCTCCATGTAGAAAAGTTATTTTCATATCAAGTTGCTCGAGTTTCAAATCAAATTGAGTCACTATAGCAAGCAATACATGAATAGTGGTATGTTTCATAACTAAAGAAAGTACTTCATTGTAATCAATTCCCTTCTTTTAACTATAACCTATAGCCACCAATCATCCCTTGAATTTAGCATCTTCAACACCTAGTATTCTTATCTTCTTCTTATAGGTCCATTTGCATCCAATGACTCCGTTACCTTTACGTAATTTCACCTAATCCTAAGTATGATTTTTGTAAATTGACTTGAGTTCTTCTATCATTGTAACGACCTACCGACTAGACTCTTCATAAATCGCTACCTCTATATAGATAGAAAGCTCATGAATATCCATTATCTTAGTTCTAGTGAAAGCATAAGCTACTAGCTCGGTATAAGCATAGTTCTAGAGAGCTCTTATCTATCTCCTCTCTCGATTAGTAGCTATTAAGTAAGGTTGTTCGGATTCCGTGATATTTTTATTCATATCTAAATCTTGTTGGACATCTATAAATATATGCGATATATCTAGAAATAGTTTTTGATGAGTCTATCTTTTAAACTACACCCGAAGTTCCACC